TTGAGAAATGATGAAAGTTATAAAAATTTTCAAGTCTTTCATTCATAGAGCTGCTATGAGTCGCTTCTATGACTCGATGGCACTTAACCACCATAACAACAATAGATTTAACGGAGAAATAGAAGAAGCTATTACCATTAAGTTAAGGAGTCAAATAGCTATTAGTTAAAATATTCTGGAATGTAAAAAAAAAAATTATCTGGTGCAACCACCATGGAAGGCGCTTTCTCAAAAAGTTGCAAATAACGCTGCACTGCAATCCCAGAAATACGTGGTTCAAATCCACCAGATGCTCTGTAGGAGAAGGAGGGGACAACCTCCTCCTGTACCAGTCAGATCTGATTTGACGGTACACGTAAAAATAATACAATAAAAATGAAAAAAAAAGTTGCAAATAGAGATACCATTTGACCCAGCAATTTCTCTACTGGGCATATACCCCAAAGAGACCATAACTGACATCCAAGCAGATATATGCACACGCATGTTTATTGCAGCTTTGTTCACAAAAAAAAAATATTCTGGAATGTCAAGCTAATATAATGACATAAATGAAAATAAGAATTCTATTAATTTGAAAGTAAGAAATGAATTATTAGTTGTAGAAACTTTTTCCAGCTAAAAACTCAAGAAAATTAATAATGAAATCCCTCTTTGGACTAGTGAGAGGATCCAGAAGTGGTTAAATAATTTTCTTTAAAAAAATCAATAAGACTCCTGTATGCTAGCAACTGCTAGTTAGAAAAGGATTAGAAAATTCACTAAAAAAGAGAAAAGCAGTAATAATATAATAGTATAAAGTATCTGAGATGATCCTTACGAAAAAAGCCACAAACACTAACTATGAAACATTTTAAAAACTTGAATAAATAAGAGACAAACTCTATTCTTAGAGATAGAGGATAAATATGCTAAAGAGAGCAATTCTTAAATTATGAAATTCTAATGAAAATTCCAACAAGCTTTATTGTTGTTGTTTTGTTTTGAGGTGGGTTCATTTTGTTGTTGTTTGTTTTTAGTGTGTGTGAATCTGACAAGATAATTTAAAAATATTGTTTGGAAAGGTAAATTGGGATGGCCATTTTATTTACTTTCATTTTTATTTTTAAATGAAACACTGATGACATAGGGCTTTCTAACCCAAAGTTAAAATCGAAGGTAAACATGGTAAGTATCAATGTGAAACTTATGCTATACAAAACAATGATTAGAAAACTAAGCTAGAAATACGCTTTACCTTTCATAAGAATGTAATAGTTCAAAAAATTAAAAAAATAAAAAAAGAATGTAATGGTTCATGCACACATGTTTATCACAGCTTTGTTCACAATAACAAGGAGTTGGAAACAACCCAAGTGCCCATCAACAAATAGATAGAGAAGCTGTAGTATATTTACACAATGGAATATTATGCAGCACTGAAAAACAAAGAACCCATGAAATATTAGACAAAATGGGTGACCATGGAGGACATTATGCTGAGTGAAATATCTCTGTCAGAAAAAAGACAAATACTACATAATACCACTGTTATAAAATAAGACTGACATGGGGGTTGGGAGGAAACTAAGAAAAGAGGGGATAAATAATGTACACGGCATTGAAATAGACGGAGAGAACTGTATAAAAGAAATACATGATTAGGTATTATTGGCATGACAAGAGTCCAGAATAAGAGCTGCATAGTAAAGTGGTCTAGGGGGGTGAGGGGGACTGTATAACAATAAAATAACTTTTTTTTCCAAAGAAAAAAGCGAACTGGGTAGGGACGGGCAGGGAGGAAAATGTGCAACAATGA